TTATGTGCGTCTCCTCGTCCGTCGTATAAGGTTAGGCAACGCATCTGCAATTGCGGATGTCTATGGGCAGCGGTCGCTTTGCCATTTTGGCGTATTCAGGTGGCCGCTTGCTCGTTTGTCACCTTATATTATAAAAAAAAACAAGTTGGATGGAGCTGTTAAAATTGAAGTTGTGTGGTGGGCTTTATGTATATCTAAAGTGATTTTTTTACCTTATAAAGATGTTTAATCAAGTCGACGTTTATAGCTACATTTACGACATTTTTAGCATTAATTAATAATGTAACAATAATTATATTAATACGTTGCATAAAATGCAATTAATATAATTAAAATGGAATTCATATTCTTGTTATTTAATCTAGTTATAAATATGCAAGGTGGTCGTACAAATATGTTTAGAACGTAGTAAAAACCTTATCTATCGATCTAATCTGATATTCATAATGTAGATACTAAAGTTACGTGATAAATAACACTATTTCTAATTAATCCTTCAAATAAATTTACCATCAAAATCTTCAGTGTTTTAAATATATTTTTAGCTTAAATTACGTTGAAAGTTTTACGTCATGAACAATAAAATACAATTTTTTATAATTTCATGCGGATAAATGGTAATATTTAGTAAACAATAAAGTACTTATAACCATTATTATTAACTTCCCTTATCCCTACGGAGGGTCGGCACAGTATGTGCTGCTCTTCCATAAATTTCTATCTTCCGTCATATCTGAATCCACTCCCTTTTTAAGCATATCCTCTTTCACACAGTCCATCCATATTTTCTTCTGTCTTCTACCTTTGGAGCCATCCACATTCAATCTTAACACTAAAGTATTTATAACCGACGTCCGTAATATAACTCGACAGCGATAAGAGTTAAAACACGGTTTTAACTAAACAGTGTCTAAGTAGACATGACAAGATTTTTGTATTAGTTAAAACATTTGAATTATTTGTGAAATGGGTTGTCTTTTGTTATATGTTGTGTTGCTTTTATCGTGTCTGTCTATTTGATAATGTCTATGTTATCTGGGGTTTGTGTCCTGTCTATTCCAGGTCTGCGTGTCTACAAGCTTTGTGTGCCGCTGATGGGTCTTGGTGAACGGTTACATTCCAGCCTTTAAACTAACTCGTATGTTTTGTCTCTTTCTTTCCAGATGGACTGGTAGCAGCTGTCTCCCTCACGTGGATAAAGAAGCTAGGTTTAGGTTTTATAGAACTTTTAGGCAATTCAAGTCAGGTTTAATTATTTTGGAGTTTGTCTTACTGTCGTCTGTTAGGTTTTTGGTTGAAATAACGCAAGTTATTGGTGGGTTTTTAATGTCTTCTTTCGCATATGAATTCATTTGCTTATCTTTTAAAATCTTATAATAATTATATCTTTATGTTCCTAAAATGCACCTTAAAACTGAACTTACTAGTGTTGTAGGTATTGTTTAAATTTTCTAATCTGAGTTTTGTAAACGATTATTTGGATTTGAATAATTCTTCTAAATATAGATTCTTTCTAAACTTAGCTAGCCTAGTGTTACATCAGGAATATTAAATAGTTTATCAATCGATTATCGAGTCGTTAACAAGGCTATCGCAAGTATCATTAGCTGTACATGCGTCATTCTAATATTTGATTTGTTAGTGCTTGGTTGACGTCACAATTCTCGATTTCTTGGTAATCGATATTTTACTGTAGCCTACAGTTTTTTCAACATTTGAATTCTTTAATTGTTTGAAATTCAATGGGTGTAAGGTATGGATGGATTGTGGAGGTGTAAATCTTTTAATTTCGCAGATCCCGATCAATGTAATGGAACTATCATAAAAAATCAGTGCTAAAATAATTCATTATCGAATGGAAAACTGTTGTGTTAATTAAGATTATGCCCTTTAATTAAAATGGAGAGGAAATTAACGCGCGAAGACTTTATACGTAAGAGCTTCCGTGCGCCGAGAGCGGTGCAGAGCCCCGAGACACAGGGCACTAACGGTCCCCAGCCACCCCTCGTCTCCCTAGCCATGCTGGAACGCACCCCCCAACCGACAAGAGCACAGTACGAAGTAACCGCATCAGGAATAGCCCCTAAACGTCTAGAAATAAACAGAACACATCCAATACATCTCAAATCGTTCCAAACACCGGATCCACCCGACGAAAACGGACCGATACCACCATCTGATGATGTGCTACGCAAACTGGAACGACAAATCGGTGAAATGGAACGTGGTTTAGAACGAGCTCAGAATGGAAACGTATCTGTTGACGAAAGAGTTAGATATGCGGAACACGAGAACTTGCTACGCACTGGGGTGTCTTCAGTAGGTGGTGGGGGTTATCTTCCCGCGGATTCGGACACGGAACACGATGTTGTACCGTTCAATAGAAACGAAACAACTCGCAGTAGCACT